ATTAATTTAATTATAATATTATATTTAATATTAGTATATAGATTAAAGTTTTTCATTTACAAAAAAAATCTTACTTAATTCGAATTACAATTTTGATATTAACAATTTATCAATGTAATTATGATAAATCCAGAATTCCTTTGAAAAAAATCCCTGACACAATCTCTGATGCAATTTTGTACGATCTGTCAACTAAAAAACAAGGTTCCATTGAATTATTTTGTAGAAACATGGACCACGGATGAAGTGTTCTGCTTGTCGGGTAGTCGTCCACGCGGTATGCGCCCCAAGTTTAAATTTTGCCTGCAAGACGAGTTTTCGTGACGTCGGTGTTAGACAATATCGCGAACAAACTACTACAAATCATCATTGGGTGCACAGACGTTCGCAGAAAGGGAAATGCGCTAATTGCAGTAAAAGTTTTCAATCCAAATTAAGTTTTACGTCTAAGGAAATAATCGCGGTAAACTGTAGTTGGTGTAAAACAGCTTATCACAATAAGGAAGCGTGTTTCAACGTAGACAAAATTGGTGAAAATTGCGAATTGGGTTCGCATTCGTCCATCATCGTGCCACCATCATGGATCGTTAAATTACCAAGAAAGGGTAGTTTCAAAAGTAGTTTGAGAAAGTCACCGAAAAGAAGGAAAAGTGGTACAGGTCCGTCAACTTCATCAACGACACGTAGAAAATCCAGAGACAAGGAAAAAGAAAAGGAACAACAACAACAACAGAAAGAAGATCAAAGTAAATTTTGGGTTGTCAAACCAATTCCAACGGCAACCGTTAGACCAGTATTAGTATTCATCAATCCAAAATCTGGAGGAAATCAGGGTGCCAAATTGTTGCAGAAATTTCAATGGTTATTAAATCCACGACAGGTTTTTGATCTTACACAAGGTGGACCCAGAATGGGGTAAGAATATTTTATTATTTAACACAATTCTATCTCTGATTTTTTCCAATATTAATTACACGTTAATTAAATTTTATCTATAATCGATAATTATTATTATTATTTGCAAAATATACGTTTTCTTTTTAATTAAACATTTCACGAAAAAGGAAACCAAAAACAACTAATAACGTAAATGAAAATTAATATCGTCCCTTTTTATTATTTCGGTAACGGAGTTTAATTGAATAAACAAAGTGGCTTGAACTTAGTTAATATTTAAGTAAAATTCTTCTCGCGTAATTTCATTCATACGAATATTAATTAATGGTGCCGGGAGGTTAGCAACACGTCGTACTTGGTCATGCCCCTTGACGATAGGCAACACGTGTTACAAGTATGCATAACTCTGTGGTCTACTATCAAGAAGAGGACAACTACAAAATTTAATTTCAAATTACAAATAATTTATAAATAAAATTGCAAATAACAAATAATAAATTCATTCAAGTTTGTAATTAAAATTAATTAATTTGAAAATTTAATTTAATTTGAAAAATAATGTTTCCTATTTGAAACAAATAACTTTAGTATAAATAAATGATTTGTTATTTAGATTGGAATTATTTAAGAGAGTACCAAATTTACGAGTATTAGCCTGCGGGGGTGATGGTACGGTTGGTTGGGTTCTCTCAGTGTTGGATCAAATTGGTGCACCCTCACCACCTGCAGTAGGTGTTCTTCCACTTGGTACGGGAAACGATTTGGCACGGGCACTTGGTTGGGGTGGTGGTTACACGGACGAACCAATCGGCAAAATATTAACCAGCATCGGTGAAAGTGAAACCACTTTATTGGACAGATGGCAATTGGTCGTAGAAAGGAATCCCGATATTCAAAACGACGATGAAAGTGGAAAAGCAAAAGAAAATCTTCCATTGAACGTTGTCAACAATTATTTCTCTCTTGGTGTTGACGCCCACATTGCTTTAGAATTTCACGAGGCACGAGGTAAATTTATTATTATTATTATTATTATTATTATTTTTATTATTATTATTATTATTATTATTATTATTATTATTATTATTATTATTTTATCCGATAAATAACGTGATATTCGCAATCAATTGAGATAAATATTATTTTTGAAGTTGTTAACCTTAATGAACGGATGTTAGCAATAGTTGACAGGTGTTTTTAAATCCGTCAACATCTGGGAATAATGTTTAACGCGTCATTAAATACATTTACCCACACCCCCTCCCCAAGTTATAAACCGCGATAACCACAAACGCGTATATATATACAGTTGCATATAATTATAAAACTTTGCAACAAAGAAACAACTTTATACGTGTGTTTTAACCACAAACCCTCTGTTAATCTCTCTGAACAGAGGCACACCCGGAGAAATTCAACTCTAGATTGAGAAACAAAATGTTCTATGGACAAATGGGTGGTAAAGATTTGGTCAGAAGAAAATGGAAGGATTTGTCAGAATTTGTGACATTGGAATGCGACGGTCAAGATTTAACATCAAAGTTGAAAGAACATCGTGTTCATGCAATAGTATTTTTAAATATCGCATCTTATGGTGGTGGAACGCATCCATGGTGTGCGGGTAGTACGACGAAGGAACCTTCAACAGAGGATGGTTTAATTGAAATTGTTGGTTTAACCACTTATCAATTACCATTATTGCAAGCTGGTGGTCATGGTACTTGCATTGCACAATGCAGTAAAGCTAAACTTGTTACTACGAGGACCATTCCCATGCAGGTAGAATTTTTTTTTTTTTAATTATTATCGATGATAATACAAAATGGGTTGAACATCAGATCATTTAGGGTTTATCATCAATCTTGGGTTTGGTTTTATTTTGTTAAGGTTGACGGTGAAGCTTGTAGATTATTACCATCGATCATAAATATGAGTTTGTTGAACAAAGCAACGATGCTTGCTAAAAGAAGAAACACTGGCCAATCGCAACCTGACGTGGCCAAATTAGAAAGACTCAATTTACCCGTCATGAGGATCAAGATGTCGGATTACGAGACTTATTATCACGACAAGGATAGATTGAAAAAGGTAGCTAAATTGTTGATACCCGAACCATTGGATTTGGATGCTACGACTGATTTGGTATCGCTGAGAAATATTTTAGCGAAGAATTATAACATGGACAATTGTTGTTTCCTAGATTGTAAGTAATATTAATGAATTGTTTAAAAAATATAATAATAAATAAAACTACATTGTATTATCATCAAAATTAGCCTGCACAGCTGAAAGATTCTTCAGGATTGATCGTGCCCAAGAACAATTGCATTACGTTACTGATGTGGCTGCCGAAGTTGTTTACATTCTTGAAGAAAGTAGTCCTAGTCAAGGTGTACCAACCGGAGAAACTGAAATCTGTACAACAGCTTCTCAAGAACCTGAAACAGCTCATCCTTCACCTAGGTAAATTAATTCTAAATGTTTGTCAACTTAATTGGAATTGTTAACAATATGTTTAAATTGTCATAATTGATGTGTGTTAAATGTTACATTTGATAGAAAAAGAAAAATGAAAAGAAACCAAATGCACGTGCGTGATAATGAAAAATCCTGTTGTCTGTAAAATTGTATTATCTTTTTTGTCAATTGTTTGATAATTAATGACAATTCGAATGGTAATGATGTCCTATCATTAGATTAATAGAAAGAACGTGTGATATAGCGAAGAACGTCCAAGAGAAAAGCCAGCCATGACAAAAGCAGGCCCACCATCATCACCTACGAGTGATCAGACTTCATCTAAACAACAACAAGAAGAAAATCATCAAGCAGAAGTCACCAATCCTGCTAAAGTTCAACCACAGAATGAACAACAACAAGTGTCATCGACCAATGCTGATACCAAATCTCAATCTGAAACTAAACGACTGTCATCACCACTAACAGCATCACCATCACCATCATCTAATGTTAACAATTCTAACTTGGCCAAAGAGGTGGAAAACCAATCGCAGAAATCTGTTAATGTAGGAACACGTAAGAAAATTAAAGAAGAAATTAAAGAAGATTATGATGAAAGGAAACAAACAACTCCTAAACAGGATGGTAATTCGTCTAAATCGATGACCTCATCTAATGTAAATAGAACAGCTGATCAATCTTCTCACACCTTTATCAGGTAAATTATATTTTTTATGTGTTTATATATATATATTTTTTTTATATTTTATATATTTTATATTTTGTTTTATTTTATATATTTTTGTTTGTTTCAAAATTTATTTATCAAATTTTAGATACACACGTGTTTAAATTAAATCAAAATTAATTGCAATTATATAAAATAATTTAATAATATTTTATTGACCAAATATTTAAAAAATTAAATAAAATGTTTTGTCTACGATTTATTTTGCAGTCCACGTGATAGACTTTTTGGGTTGAGTTCTGAGGTTCATACCTTCAGTACCGGTTTACTCGAGAAGACTTCTGATGGTATTTTGAAGGCTGCTAAGATAGGTGATTTATCTGCCCTTAAGGAATTACATAACAAAGGATATTCACTTTTATCAATCGACACTACTGGACAAACTGCTTTGCATTTGGCTTCGAGATATGGTCATAAGAATATCGTTAGATATCTTATTGCCAGTGCACCACCAACGATTCTTGACATTGCTGACAATGATAAGTACGTTCATCTATCAATTACATTAATTTTTCACTCATTATTAATTTGATTATTTAAACAAATGATTTTAAATTATAATAAGGGTTATATATCATTAACAACACGATAAGAACAAATTTATATGGGAAACTTTTAAAGGGGTTTATTTAGGGTTTTATATATTTATTATTAAATTAATAAATATATTAATTTTGAGGGGTTTATTTATTGTTGCGTCAGGGTTGCGTCAAGGGTTTTTTTTGGTAATTTTTGTTTTCTTTTTTTTCCAGGGGTCAAACGGCTTTACACAAAGCAGCGCAATATAAAAAACGTTCAATTTGTTGTATGCTAGTAGCAGGTGGTGCAAATTTAACATTGAAGGATAGACACGGTCAAACACCTAGGCAATTAGCTTTGTCAGCTGAGGATCGTGAACTAGCGGCGTACTTGCAAAGTAAGCTTCAGGATTTTCCATTTAAATCTTCATCTTATAATACTCTTTATATGCGGGATTATGTTACTACTCTGTGGTAAATCTGTTCACATCTATGTGTTCTATCTCCATGTATGTTTGTGTATGTCTATGTTTGTGTTGATTTTAACAAGATCTTATCTAACTATAGTTATATACCCCCAAAAAGATTATTCTATGCTTAACTATAATCTCTTACTAATTGTCTCCGAGTTTAAACCAAAGATGCATTTATAATCCCTTATAAACTATGAATTAGTATTTTTTTTTTTTTTATATAACCGAAATTATTTCGAACAATTTTAATTTTACAAAATTAACAAAATAATTAATTTTTTTATATTGACTTATTATGAAAAGAAAAATAAAAGAAAAAAGAATTAAATTTTAAATTAACTTTAATTCATAAACATGAATATTGATTTGTTATTAATATAATTAATTATATATTAATATAATTTTTCTATTATTTTTTTTTATATTAAATAATATAGTTATTAATATAATTAATTTATTATTATAAGAAAAAACAATAAATCAAAATTAAATATTAAATCAATTTTAACAAATGAATTATTTTCACATTTACGATTGCATTGAAATTAAGTAAACTTATACAATTAAATATTAAAAATTATTACAAATTAATTTAAAAAAAATCCCGCATACAAAGTATTATTAATAATAATCAACATAATCACGATTTGATATTTCTATAATTTGAATTTGTTTAATTAGGTCAGGAACAATTCCAACTGGCTGTGGATGAATAATAATCAATAATAATTCCAATGATTTATAATTAACAATCCTGTGGGTCCTACTTCAGGATTATTTTTGGGGACCGACTTAAAATTAGTTTAATAAATCTTGATCTACTATTACGTTAAGAACAAAACAAACAAAGTAATAATAATAATGAATAATTGTTCATGATTATTATCTCATACACAAATATGATACGTAAAAATAGTGTCCTATATTATTTTTTTCCAAGATACTGAGTATTAATTAATTAATTAATTAATTGTATTTAATGATAATCACACGTATTTTATCTACGAAAAAAAATTCTCTAACTTAAGTTATTCTTCATTCCTATTTAAAATATGGAAAACAAAAAGATTAAAAAAAAATAAGATAAAAAAAAATAAGATAAAAAAAATAAGATAAAAAAAAAGGAATATGAAAATTTCTTTCTGACATAATACATTTACATACTCTATACATGTACGTTATATATATTTATTTAGTATATAATTATATATATCGTACATTGTATTATATATTTAAATACATATATTATATATATAATATATGTTTATGTAAATGATAATGATACCGATTTTTGGATCTTATCCAAATATGTATATTATGTATATGTATATATACAGGATATAAACATTTAGAAAATTTAAACAAATATTTATTATACTTTAAATAATTCATTTTAATCAATTTTTAGATTAAACATTTTTATGATTTCATTTAAAAAAATTGTTTCTAAAATAAAGTGAAACATTTGCAATCTTTTTTTTTACTATTGTTATTATTATTATAATTAATATTAAATAAAAATCTCATAATGCAATCTCAAAATAAAACTAAAAAAAGAATCTGCAAATGTTTTTAATAATCCTAGTAAATTTTAATTAAATAGATCATCCTATATATAAACAAATACATATATATATATATATACATATATTTATTTATATAGACAAATATACTCACACGCGTATATATATATATACGTATAATTATATTTTGAATAAATTTTCTTTCTATATTCTTCGTATATATATATTCGTGCAATACGTGTACTTTTTCTATTACAACAACAACAACAACAACAACAAGAAATAAAAAAAAAACAACAGTATTTTGTGCACGAGAAATCAACAAGAGACATCAAAATATTTCAAACAGAAAAAAAAATAATAATAATATGAAATATTTTTCCCTCTAACTTCAGATAAACTCACCCCTTTACACCCTGTGCAATCTTTTTCATTCGTTCATTTGATTGTTTATACGGGGTGTACGTATTATTGTAGTTATTTAAATTATTATTATTGGTACACAATTATAGTAGTATAAAATATATATATATAATTCATGAAAAAGAGAAATAAGTAAAAAAACGTATAATAATAATAATAATATTAATAATAATAATAATATTAATAAACAAAAAGAACAATTAATTAAATAGGATTATTATTATATTATATAAATAATAAATATTATTAATAATTATTATCAAATTAATTTCTACAACAACTATTAAAAACAATTAATAATTTCAATTAAATCTTATCAACGATTTGCAAAAAGTATTTGAAAAATTTGAGGAAAGAAAAAAAAGAAACAAATAATAATTGCGAGTTTTAAAAAATTATTGGAAAAAGTTAAATAATAATAAAAAAAAAAAAAGATTTGTAAACGATGATGGTAATGAACGAAAGATTTGATTTCTCTTTTCTCGCAGTTAAAATTAGGGTTGGTAGCAAATATTAATGATATGTATTATAAATATAAAAAAAAAAGGAAAAAAAAAACAAAAGAAAACAAAAGTAACCATCACTCTTACGATAATATATATATATAATATATATATATAATATATATATATATATATATTTCTTTATATAATTTTTATTTTATATTTTTCTACTTCCTTCTTCTAGAATTGTAGTATCATATTAAAAATTAAACAAACTAACTAACAAACTAATAAACAAACAAAAAACATACAATACAACAAAAATAAGAAAGAAATGAAAAACAAATGTTAATGCAAATGATGACTTTTACTCTTCTCTTCAAATAATAATAATAATATTAATAATTAATAATAATAATCAAGATGATTTTTATAGGAACTCGTCTCTGTCGTGTGTGTGTGTGTGTGTGTGTGTGTATGTATGCGCGTATGTTGAGTTAACTGTGTGACGATAAACTTTTTATTTTTTTTGAAACTTTCTCATATGTGTATCGAATTATATTTAAAGTATTTATATTTTCTTATGCGTATAAACAAAAAAACAAAAAAACAAAGGAAAAGAAAAAAAACATTCTTCCTGTTAAATAAAAAAAAAGAACACGCTCATAGAGACACCCGGTTACATAGGGTTGTTGATAAATATTTATGAATAATATTTCTCATTGTATTGTATATTCGATACATATCTCCAATTGTTTAAGGTATTAAGTTATTATTATTAGCGTAAAATAAATAAAAAAATGAAAAGAAATGAGAATATTATTAACGAGAAAACACATACGCGTAAAGAAACAAAAAGAATACGTCAGAAAAAAGCTCTTATTATTTAATATAAAAAAAAAAATGATACTGCAAGTAGTATTAATTGATTAAATGAGATTATTTAAATATTTAAATTATTTAAAAAAATAAAAAACAAATAAAAAACAAACAGGAGTAATAAATGTTACAATAATATGCATTTGTTTGATTTTGATGTATTATTTTACTTCGAAATAAATTTATTTAATTTATAAATGTATTCATTTAAAAAAAAAAAAAGGAAAATTATATATTCATTTAATAATAATAAATTATTTCAATAATTTTCATTTGTTAGATTTGATGTATTATTTAACTTTGAAATTATTAAATTAAATTACTAATTTATAAATTTATTAATTTTTGTATTAAATAGTAAGAGCTCTCTGACGATTAAAAATTGTATTCAAAAAAATTATTTAAGAAAATACTGAACATAACGCGTAAGTGTATTTTAACCATACATATATATATGCATAAAGGTATATATATACCTTTATATATAAAATATAACACTTACAAGTATTTGAAATCACGATTAAAACCATTTTTCTAATATTCTAATAACTTGAACTATTTCCTAATATAAAAAAAAACTATAATATCTCGCGGCCTTGCTTATAGACACATCCAATTTTAAACAAATTCGAAACAATAAAAATAAAACAAAATTAAATTGTGGAGTAGAGGAGTGGAGTAATCCCTCCTCAATAAAATTCAACCCTTTTTACAAATTATTTTTTCAACAAACATTAAATAATAATAATGAAACGGGACACGCGTTAAAAAAATTATCTCCTAAAACGTAATCGGTGTGAATTTGATTAGAAATTCAAACAGGGTCTATGCAGGAAAATGCTGATAGATAGTTTAAAAAATGAAAAAGACAAAATAAAAAAAAATCTATAAATAATAAATAAATACAGGAATTAAATAACAAACATGCATTACCGTTTTAATTAGACGACACAATCAACACTGTGCCAACTATAATATTTTCAACAATACTACATTACGTTTATGACATATATATATATATAATAAAATTAAATAAACAAATAATGACGAAAATATTATTTCAGTAAAAAAAAAAAAGAAACAGGACGCGTTGTAAAATCCGTAATTTTTACCAAATAATCCAAATGTATACGCGACGCGTGATAAATTAAAATTATTCGCGTTTTTATTTAACAATTTGATGATTTAACATCTACAGGGTGTTGTCGAAAAAAAACAAATACAGAAATATTTCTACAATGTGTTTTTTTTTGTTTTTTTTTCATTCTTAATATTATAATTTGTTTTTTTTTCGAGACACCTTGTACACTAGTTTGTTACTGTAAAAATTAATCCAATTGGATATTTACGAAAAAAAAAAATATGAAAAAAAAACACGAAGTATATTTAATCGGAACCAAAAAAAGTTAAATTAAATTGAAACAGAAATTAAAAAAAAAGTGTAAAAAGGGGAACAACGTACGAACACCAATTAGATTTTAGAATAAAAAAAAAGAAATTAATAAAAAAATAAAAAAAAACGGTCTATCGCAACTATTGTACTATTTACCATAAATTATTTACTATATTTATCATTATACTATACTTATCTATTTACTCTGAAATAAATAAAAGAATGGAAGGAATAACCAATAAAAAAAATACATATATATAAAACTAACTATTATTAAAATAAATAATTAAAAAAATAAAATAAAATAAAAATAAAAATTGAACAGAGAGAGAGATTAGAATTTTTTCTAAACGTGTGTTTAAAAGGCATTAAATTAAAATTATTTTAAAATATGTGATGATTATGATTAAAAAAAAAAAATATTGATGAGTATTAGATACTTGACGATGATTAGAAAACGAAAAAATAAAAAAAATATTTGAATCGTGTATTAGATATTAATTAAATTTTGTTTAAATTGATATTATAAAAAATTAAAACGAGTTATTTGTTTACGATAATTAACATCGATAGATCAATCAGAACAATTTGAAAAAAAAATAAATAAAAATAAAACATTAACAAATTTTTCTTTAACTAGTGCCAATAATAATAATAATAATAATAATAATAATAATAATAATAATAATAATAATACGTTGAACAAAGTTTCTAAAAAGGGACCTTTAAAATGTATATATATTTAAATATTCATCAAATTAAACTACGTTATCTGAAATTATTCCTAAATAAATTAAAAAAAAAAAAAGAAAAAAATTTTGTTTTTTACAAAAATAATCTAATATTCTATAAAATATTTGTCTTCTTCTTCTTCTTCTTCTTCTTCTTCTTCTTCTTCTTCTTCTTCTTCTTCTTCTTCTTTAACGTAAAAAGTGAATTAGAAATATTCTAATTCTAAATTTTTTTTCTCTCTCTTATAATATGATTATCGTTCAAAACAAATGAATTGAAAAAGAAATAAATAAATAAAATTAATAATTTGACTAATAAATCTTACATTAAAAAAAAAAAAAAATAATAAAAACTACAATGACCTATTAAATGACCCAAGAAAAATCTAATCTAATTCATAATCCATTTCATCTGATTTATTTTAAATAATTATTTGTTTGTGATGCAAAAAAAAACAAAAAATAA